GTGGATTCAAAGTGACAGAAGTTCAGTGTGAGGAGGAAGATCTGCAGTTGGATCCTCTTCAGACTCCCTGAAACTCCTGCTGGATCTCAGCACGTTTGATCCACAGGAAGAACCTCTTGTGGTTCTGAAAAGTCCTCCAGCTTCAGAACATAACTTCTCCCAGTTTGTGCTGAACTCATCCAAAGCTAACCAGCATGCTAACGTTAGCCACAGCAGAGCTGAACTTTAGCTGCTGAGTGTTTTCTTCAGCTGTTTTCTCTCCTTTCTGTTCACAGGTTCAGTGTGTTTGCTGTGAGACAGATTAAATTAGATTAGCAGTGAGATTATTTACCACAACCGCAGCCTCTTAAGCCCCGAGGGGTTTCCATGAAGTCCCTGCTGGAAAACAACATGCACAAATAAGATGGAGAGTTTCTCAGCAACTACAAACTCTGCTTCAATGATGTTGGTGTGAACATGAAGAGAACATCTGGGAGAGTTCATCAGAAGTGTGAGCATCACAACAGCTGCTGATGTTTCACAGAAAATGAGGATGAACAGAGAAAAAAGGAGTTTTTATTCCCTCGCCTGAACTTTATTTGATTTACAGAGTAAATAACTCCTTTGAAAATATGATGAAGAAGGTTCAAACTCTTGGAAAGCACAAATCCACATGTGGACATTACCTGTGCAAAGATTCCAGCTGCTGAAATCAACTAGAGCAACTTCCAGATGTTTTAGTAAAGAAATAGCTCGGAGTTCTGCTGCTTGGCACAGGATGGCACAGTTCAGCACAGTTTGGAACCATCTGTGAAAGTTGAGGCTTTTTATCTTTTAAACTTCATCAATGAATGAACTTCATTTAGCGCCTGGATCATGTTGTGTGGACGTTTGAAGCCGGGGTGCAGACAGACACGGGGAACTCAGAGGTCCAAGAAGAAAATAGATTGATCTGATCCAAACAAAAAGCTGACGAGGCAGCAGAACTTAGAAGAAGAGCTCAGGAAGACACGGAGGGACACAACATGAACGGCTGCAGGAAGCACAATCCACGGATGAGGGACAAACAAAATGAGACATTATTTAAAGGGACACTAACACCTGGGGAGAGACGATGAGGAGCAGGTGAGAGTGGGAGGAGCAGGAGCGACTACATGAGGAGAAAACACAGAGAAAGATGGAAACAGAAGAAAAACACTGAGAGAAAAGTCAAAAGTGTGAACTTGTGTCTCTTTGAGGTGTTTTGAAGCATCAGACTGTTTCTAACAGCCGGTGTTTGTGGACGTGGACATTCATCTGAAGCTGCTGCTTCTCAACCTTAAAGCAGACCAGTAGCTCAGGCCCACATCAGCTACTGGGAGTCTTCCAGCCCAGCAGCTCCTCATGGAGCGTTTAGACGGAGCGTAAGAAGTTCCTCTTTCTTGTTGAGAGGAGGATGTGGACATGAAGGACCATGAAGGACTCGTTTGTCTCAGTCTTTGCTTTGTGTCTCAACTCTGCTCCTCTGTAAAACATCTGCACCTGCTCCTCTGTAAAACATCTGCACCTGCTCCTCTGTAAAACATCTGCACCTGCTCTTCTGTAAAATGATGAGTTGCAGAAAAGACTTCATGAGGTGAGGAGGGAGTTCATTCATCGTTCACTGCTCCTCCACGAGTGAATGCATGGAGTGGGGGGTGTAGCCCCGAACATGCACACACGCAGACACACGAGCACAGCTGATGGAGCAGGAGAGTGCACGTGTTTGTTTGCATCGTGTGAACAAATTCTGCATGAACTTCCATCAGCAGGTTCTCTGTGAAGGCTGGTTCTGATATTTTCCACCATGTTCACGTGCACGGAGAACCCTTCCTTCCTTCCTGCTGCTGTGTCTGATTGTT